AAAAAAAAAAAAAAAAAAAGGGTTCCCCGAGATCCTATATTGGAGTGTACATAGAAAATATTGTGCTGCAGAGAGCAAAAGTGACTTGCCTCAAGTCAGAGTGTGCACCGCAGGGCTGGCACTAGACTTAGTTGCCTGTTTTCTCTGTCTCACTAGCATAGCTGTGAAGTTTAGGTCCATAGTAAGGGCTAAGTGATAGAAATCAGGAAGCCATGAACTCCTCCCCTGGCTTGTGCACTACTTTGGAACCTTGGGCAGCCTTGGGAGACACCCAATGACCTGCACTAAGAATGGAAACTTCAAACTTTTGAAAATGATTTTCTTCATTGGTTCAGGTCCCTGTGCTTACAGTGTGGTTGAACAGAGGCTGAAAATGGTCTGCAAGGGTAGTAAAGTCCATGATTAAAGAAGAGTAATTCTTTAGTAGCTACAGCAAGGCTATTCTTTATTTAAAACCTTCAGGCTGCAAGCAGGTTCAACAGCTTCCTCAAGTCTACTTTGCTGTAAAACAAATGGTTTCTTCCTTTCCTTTGCCCAGATAGGTTTGCCAGACCTATCAATTAGAAGAAAACCTAAGTTAAACTATCATTATTAAAATATTAGCTAAGAGCAACTATAATGAAGCCATTCTCCTATTTGAAGACAGCCAACTGGCATAGCTTTTTGCCCATGTGGCTAATGGGGAGTTTGAGGTTATTTTCTCTGACAAGAATCTAAAAAGTAGAGACAGAGTGAGTCTGGTTGATTGCAGAGCCATAAACTTTGGAGATCCAACAAATACACAGCCAAACTGGTATCATTTCATGAGCATTGAGAAGCTTCACCTGCCTACATGGATGCCATCTACCTCTGGGAGGCAGCTGGCATCAGGTAGTTAACAACAATTTAAGTCCTTCCTAGCGTTTGCTGGGATAAGCAATTGACCTTCATCAATCTAAAGCCTAAGTTATAGTCACGTGAGCACTGCATTGATGAATAGATGGGATTATAGCATAGAAGCTGGTGGGTGGGTGTGTGTGTACCTGTGCACGCGCGCGCGCAAACTCCTTCCTTTTGGTAAACCTCTTCCCTCCCCATCTCCTTTCCTGCTGTCCCACCCCTGCCGTAACCCATGCTACAAAATTAGCATGTATCTTCAAGTATTTTTAAAATCCATGCTCATATAATCCTATCTAAGCATATATATGTACCAAAAAAATCTACATACATAGATTTTTGGGGCCTTTATTTTTTCAGAACAGCAGAGTCATATTATACATCTTTTTCCAAAATTTTTCATTTTCACAAGGAAATACAGTTCTACTTCATTTATCGTATGCATGTATATGATTTACTTTGTTTCCAGTTTTCTGCTACTTTGAATAATGCTCAAATTAACTCCTTTGCTCATGTGTCCCTGTATACTGGGACTTTTATTGTTATAAGAGGGATTTTCTGAAGTGTAAATTCTGAGTCAAAGCGATATGTATATTTAATTTCAATAAATGTTGCCCATAGCCAGGCATGGTGGCACATGCCTGTAATCCCAGCTACGTGGGAGGCTGAGGAGGGAGGATCACTTGAGCCCAGGAGGTCAAGGCTGTAGTGAGCTATGATTATACCACTGCACTCCAGCCCAGGCAATAGAGTGAGACCCTATGTCTAAACAAACGAATAATGATAACAAAATAAATGTTGCCCAATTGTTTTCCAAAAAAGATTGTAATAATTATTTCCACCAGCAATGAGGACATCGTTTTCCTCCAGCAGCCATACCAAAATGGATATCCTCACACTGATATTATTACTAGACTGATAAGTTTAAACCTCATTGTACTTTATTTTCCATTTTTCTAATTATGGGGAGTTTAGACACCTTTTCACAATTTTGTAGGTTACCTGGTTTTGCTCCTCTGTGAGTTGTTTTCTTTTTATTTTGGGCTGTATGTTGGAAGAGCTCATATATTAATA